AGGACCGGAAACTGGATTCAAGGCTGGGATTTGAAGATATAGTCTAAATTACACAGAGGTACTCCACACCAGCCCAGCGTTTGGGGTTTGTCAGTGGTGGAGAATTTTGGGTTGGGCTGTTTTGGGTTTCATACATATTTAAAACCTCAACAGCAATAAATTCATTTCCACTAACTATGACTTCTATACAAAAGCTGAGTTTTCAGAAGGTTCTGTCAGTACTGAATGACTGGCATTGTGGCACCATTTTGAAGAAAGATCTGTAAGATAGAGAGGATGAATTATCAAGATCAACCCTGTTTCTGACCCAGCAGTTAGTGATACCTGGGTCAACCTGTTGAAAAATATTGTTTATAAAATGCATGACAGCACATCACGTTCTTCTCTTTCTACTCTAATGAATTCAGTTTAGTACACAACAGAAGTTAACAATTAGTTCTGAATCGTAACAATTGAAATACAAAAGCTACTACATGTTTGTGTTTTTGTGTATGTGTTTGTGTGTTTGTATGTTTGTATGTCCACCCTGTTGTAAAAGCATGTACAGCCGCCTTACGCTGACAGCCTGACCTTGGAGACCTCTAGGAACCCCTCACAGTGTGATGATGTTCACATTGTAGTGTGTTCTGGTTGAGGAAAAAAAAAACAAAACCAAACAAAAACAAAAAAACAAAAAAACAAAGCAGGCGTGATGCAGATTCACACCAGAGTATTGCAAACTTTTGAGTATTTTTTGCATTTTTGATTGTACAACAAAAATAAATACAACTGCACATCTGGTGTTGTTCATGCAAAAAAATATAAACAATGTTTTGAAAGTAGTTGTGTGAACGAAAAAGCTGATTATAAGACTTCCAAAGGTTTTAAATATTTGACTATGATCAAGAGACCCAGAGCAGTATTCATTATTCATTAAAGTATGGGCTGTTATGACACGAAGAATCACTAAAACCTCTAAAAGTATCTTTTTAGAATGGTTTTCCCTTTTAACAATAGTGTACTGTCTGCATGTATAGTACCAGAAATACATAAATAAGGAACAACAAAGGATTTCCTTATTATTACAGTAGGTGTGCCTCAGGGTACAGCATTAGGGCCAACAACATTTCAATTTCAAAATGCAGTTCTGAGTAGTAATGCATGTTTCAGTGCATGTGTTAAGAGTAAATATGAAAGATTAAAGCCCCAAAATCTATGTTTATGACAGAATAGCAATAAATCTTAGAAATAAATCTAAAAATTAGCATTAGACAAAATATAAGACAGCAAAATGGCCCAATTACTGTAGCTTAACAATTGGTATAAACAAACGAAATAATGTGCATTTCATTCCTTTATTAAAATGATTTAGTACACAGATCAAATCAGACAAGTACAGATACAAAACAAAACCATACAACTTAAATATTATATGATCCATTTTTTTTACTGTGTACTTCATAACATTTACGGAATGAGGCTTATCATTAGTCTAGAACTGAAAAACACCAGTCATGTGATTAAAGGTTGAGGTTTCATTTACATTACATCATTTAGAAATGCAACAATTATGTGTGAGGGTTCGTTCTCTTTTCGTAAAGAGGGGGAGGACATGGTCTGGAGAGTGGGTGACTATGTGCATACTAAGACAAAGAGGTTGGGAGGGAAGAGACCCGACACACCAGGCACCGCCGACGTACTAATATAGCTCTAGATTAGCTGTAGTGATGGGAAATAACCCAGCCGCCGCCTGGGCAACCTCACCTGAACTCTTACTACCCTTCACTGCAGTCGCTTTACTGCTATGGTCATTTTTTTGATGAAAGAAGAGGAAACTGCATTATTTCAAAGGCACTACCCGATTCAGGTTCCGTCTTAGAAAATAAACACCTTCAATAAATAAATAAACTCACACTCAGAATGTCTTCATCTCACGCAGAGTTTTTCCTTTAGGTAGTCAGCAAATTTGGATTCCCTTCAGACAAGAAACGTAAATACATGACGACTGTTGATGGGGGGGGGCGGGAAAACAATGAACCCGTTAGAAAGCGAGGCTGAGAGGATGAGGTAAGAATGCTTTGACCCGGCACCCCCTTTTGAAACATGGCTACACAGACTCTGTACTTTGGCAACAGGCCCTTTTCCCAAATGTGTATATATAAACACACAAACATACAGTGGGGGTCCAAACGTCTGAGAGCACTGGTGATGATGCCTCTATTTCACAATCCAGCGTTAGAATCTTTGAAATTTGAACACGAATTTCAGATTTCCTCAGTATTTGGTGGTGTGTCCCTGCTTCGCTTTGAATTACAATGTGCACTCGAGCTGTACGGTCTCCACAAAGTCTCTGATCAGCAGATCAGACCCACCTGAGAGTCTGAACTCGAGCTTCACTTGAAGAGATCAGACTAAAAACACTCTGAGCTTTTAGTACAAACAGCTCAATTTCACACACACCTTTGGTTTGAGCAGTGAGATAGAAATACAGCAGAATTTTAAATATTTCTTTTTCATTTTATCCGTTAGAACTTTTCTTTGTTTTAAAATGTTCAAGATTCTAAAATGTTGTTGTTTATTTCCAGACTTTTAATGTGGTCTTAGACTTTTGGACTCCACTGTGTGTGTATATGCACATATATATACATTGGGAGGTGATGGAGAATCAGAGGAAGGGTTAGAGGGCATGACATGCAAGGCAGCCTAAGGCAAGACAAACAGCTGTTCTCCAATCTCTGCACTCACATGCTTACAGTGCACTCAACCCGCTCTCGGTAAACAGCATATGACGCGTGGAATAAAGGAATAATCTCCACCTGCTGCATCTGTAGCTTATTAGTATACGGTTAATTACCACAGACACTAATTATGACTTTCCCTCCACTAACATAACAGAAAACTCATGTATAACAGAAACCAGTGGGCAGTTGCTGAATGCAGTGCATAAACATTTAAAATAAGTGACATAACTCAAATTCAAAACTCTACCATTATACTCTATAGGCGACGTTTGGTTTATAAAGATTTAATAACGAGGAAACTCAAAAACGCTACAATAGTGAAAATCTTAAATCTAGTTAATATATCTTACGTTTCTCATTATGAGTGTTGAAAGAATATATAAACATTACTGAAAGTGTTTCTAGACATTTTAAGTCATTTCATTGGCAGATCATTTTTAATGTTTAAAATGACCTGCCAAGACACTTCCATGAGATAAAATGACTTAAAACCAGTAGAAATGTCTAGAAATAAGTTAGATAATGTTATAATATTTTCACAACAGTCTCATAATGAGAAATAACAGATATATTGATGTTTTCACTTGCTAAGATTTAATAAAAACAATTAAAATGTTATCTTGTGTATCTAGTTGACATATCTAATATATTTCACTTTGAGACTGTTGTGAGCTTATTATAAGATTATTTAAATTGTTTCTTGGTGTTTTTTATTTCTTTTGAGTGATTTGAGTCAAAATATCTCACTATATTGGCAGATATTTTTTCTTGTTTCACGCGTATTTCTGACAAGCATAATTATCTCCCAATAGAGATCATTAAAATCACTTAAAACAAGGAAAAAATATTTAAAAATCTTCTAATAACGTTCTTAATCTTAAAATGAGAAATGTTAGTCATATCAACTAGATTTAAGATGATTTCACTTGCCAGGATCTTGTTTTGCAGTGCATTTTGAGCGACATCGTTAGTAATCTGTGATGGATCACTATGTGTGAGTAACTACCCCAGCCCTGCTCATCGCTGCCCCTACTGTTTGTAGTGGAGGAGCTCACACTACAGCGTTCATTGGCCGGGATTTGAAACATACTTGACAATATTACGCACTGCAGTCCGTCACTGAGCTGGGCAGTTCATCGCAGATCTCCAAACACTGGAACTGGAAAATCACACTGTGAAATAATCTTCATTCTAGTTGATCTATGTAATATTTCTTATTTTGAGATGGTTGTGCACTTATTAAGAGCTGTTTTAAGTAATTATATCAAGAAAAATTATCTCACCATAATTAATCATTTATAATATATTATAATTTTTATATTTTTGATAAATAAGAATTTTGATAAATTTAGATCATTTTGCTGGTTTCAAGAGCAAAATTATCAGCCAATATAGTGAGATAATTTTACTTGATGAATTACTTAAAACAAGAAACAATGTTTGGAAATAAGTTAGACAATCCTGAAATAAGCTTACAACAATCTCAACAGGAGAAATATTAGATTTATTACTAGATTCAAGATAATTTTACGTGACAAGACCCCATTATTTGCAGTGCGAATAGAAAGTGTTTCCAAAATACGTATCTAACGCAAACGTTTACTGACAGAACTCAGCAACTCAGTATAGTCAACAAAACTAACCGTTCTCCTGTTGAGATTGTTGTAAACTTAATTTAAGATTATTTAACTTATTTCTAGACATTTTTTACTTGTTTTACGTAATTTTATTAAGTAAAATTATCTGATTATACTAGCAGATAATTTCGCTGGTTTCAAGCTCATTTACTAAAACAAGCACAACCATCTGCCAGTACAGTGAGATAATCGTACTTGATAAAATACTTAAAACAAGAACAAAATGTCTAGAAATACAGTAAATAACCGTAAAATAAGCTTACAACAATCTCAACAGGAGAAACTTTAGATTTATTGACTATATTTAAGATTTTTGCAGTGTCTGTTTTGTTTTCTGAGTAAATGGTCAGTGGAGACTGACCCCAAACTACAGATGCAGCAAACAGGGGTTAAAAAGCTGAAACATTCCTTTGAAAAATGGAAAACTGTGAAGGGTGCTGTCTATGGAAGGGAGACCCCACCGAGGATGGAACTGACAGTGCTTGTCCCCCCCAGTGGCTTCCTGCAGAAACATATACGACCACTTCACCAGCAGAACCCCTGACGTTCGCCTCGCAGCGTCCAGTAGATTAGTTTACTTACATAGTATACAAACGAAGGTCTTCTATACTGGGTTATGTCATAATAAGCTCAGTCACTTGCGTTTTTTTTTTTCTGGTCATGCAAGACTACAGGCAAGGGCAACTAAGGTCAAAGCGGTGATGTGGCAAGGTGCGCAAGAGAACTCCCGATACTGGCCGTCAGTCCCACTCGAGACGCCTCACAGCTGTACAGAATTACATATATACAAAAGATAGGGTTACATTTGGCCCCCTTACAAGGAGGAGCCCAGCACAAACACAATCCTCTGATCGGGACCCCCTGCTTCTGGAGGTCCGGCACAAAACCATCACATCAGGTAAGGGGAAGTGGGGGGGGGGTATGTTTGAGTAGTCATAAACACAGAGGCCCACCTTGCCACATCGACTGAAAGAGCACAGAAGCTTGCAAAGTACTGGGGATCATCCAGTTAACAGTATTATTATTAATATTATTATAATCATAATTATCATTACACTTCACAGAGATGCCTCTTTAAGCTCTTTTTTTTCGGATGCCATATGAAGGGAGTACAAAGCAAAGCAACTAGTGAGGGTTTCATAAATATACATATCAGTGTTTTTTTATTATTTATATATATATATTTTTTTTCCTTTGAATGACAATGCAGGCTTTTTTAGTTACCCAGTACTTATATTACATGTAATTATACGTCAGATTTGTGGAGCATCTCATTATTATTGTTATTGTTGTTATTATAATAATTGTTGTTTTTACACATTACAATATTGAGCATTTTCTGGTAGATCACTGAATCTGTACGCGTTTTTGTTCTCGTTCAGGGAGAGGGGGGGGTCCGATCACCTTCTGAAGAACATGGGGTTGCGCAGGCAGGCGGCTAGTCACCTGCAGCAGCCGAGGGGTCCGGCGGAGGTCTCCAGGCTGCTGTCTGTGTCGGAGGCAAGGGTTTGGTCGGTGGACATGGAGGAGATGTCGTTGACGGAGGAGGACGGAGGGAGGCTCTCGCTGCTGTTCACGGCTGCACCTGTGCTACGGGAAGCAGCGGAAAAACGGTTACAACGAAAAAAAGAGAGAGAGACACTCGGCATCAGCAGAGAGAGGGAGGAGGAAAGTGTGGCAACTGCAGCCAACAGAGCTTCCACAGCAGCGTTACTCAGATCCAGCTGGGTGACAAAGTAAATAAAAACATATCTGTTATTATTATTATTAATATTATTATTACTACTACTCAGTCCAGTCCTCAGGGCCTGCTGGAGCTACAACGTTCCAAAGGAGAGTGGCTGTTCCAAAGGAATTCACACCTGGACACGGAACGCTTCAGAACAGTTAACTAAACATGCTCAGGGCAGCAGAACCAGGTGGGACGGCCTGGTGATGTTCCACTGCAGAAAATGGTCTTAAATGTAGTCACTGTATCTATTATTTCTCATTATGAGACTGTGGTTAAAATATTATAAGACTGTTTAACTTATTTCTAGACAGTTTTATTGGTTTTCAGTCACTTTTTCTTGTGAAAGAGTCTTGGCAGATGATTATAAGCATTATTTATAGTAAGTTATATAATCTGCCCATGGAATGAGACAATCCCTCCTGATAAAATGACTTAAAACAAGTAAAAATGTCTAGAAATATGTCCAATAATGTTTTTTATATTCTTACACTCTCATAATGAGAAATATGAGATGTATTAACTAGATTTAAGATTATTCCACTTTTTGCAGTGTAGTATTCAATAACTGGTGCTACATTCACATCACTTTTTTCCAGCAACGACAACTTTATTACCACCCGGAGGAAAAGAATATCTAAATGAATCTCCTCCTGATCTCAGGTTCTTCTCCTGGACGTGGTTTGAGTCCAGTGTGAAATCAGAGCGAGACTGAAGCCGTTTTCTCTTGATTCTGAAATTCAGCTCCGGAGAAATAAACTCAGATTTACTCACTTTGATCAAAACACTGTCACACATACAGATTAACTCTTTAGAGTCTGACTCGTCTCAGCCCCGTCTCAGAGTAATATCTCCATGAGTGAAGAGTGAGATCTCATCGTTCTCTTATACAGCTCTGTTCTAGATCACAGAACACTCTCAGCAGTCTGTCAGTGCAGAAGGAGAACTCATGCTTTTCTCCTTCATCACCAGAACGTCTCACAGTGAGACGTTGATGTTAATCTCCTCTTTTCTCCTGAGGAGGTTCAGGAGGAACAGCTCAGAAACCAGTGATCCTTCATTAATATAATACTGAGATCTGCTTTATTTCTCTGAGACGATCTTAAGAAAGACATTTTTCCTCTGGGTGGTCTCGCAGGGCCAGATGTGATCTCGTAACAACTACTCTCTAAAAACTTTGGAGTTTGCATAACATAATAAATCTCGGTTCCGATGTTCACTCGCCTTTTCTTGCTTATTCAACTTCTGTAAATGATGAGCTACACTGGCTGACGTTCTGCTGTGAACACTAACAGAAATATCTAGTTGAGCTCATGAGATTCGAATGTTTAAGTAAACCCAGTCAGACCAGCTCTTCTCCTTCCACATTTACAGCATGTGGCAGACGCTTTTATCCAGAGTGATGCGAGGATGTAATCCTGTTACCGAGGCAGGAGAATGTGGTTCTAGGCATCTTGCTGAAGGACTCTTTCTGATGTAGCATGGTGTTCCTGCTCAACTGAGCCCTGATCTGCCGTGTGATGAACAGCAGTGTTAACCACTACATTACACTAACCCCTCACACAGAACAGTTCAGGTACTCACTCAGCTAAAGACAGGCTGGCTGACTGATATTTGGACATAATGGAGTATGACGTTTCTGAGGATATTTGCTGATGATATTATTTTTTGGGGGGGCTCTTTATCTTGCTAGCTGATGTCCTGTAAAATTAGAGGCTAACTAATAATAATAACTGAATCATATACATTTATAACGGGTATTTGTGCATTGTTGATGATCAGATGATTGTTTTGAGTTCTAATTAGCTACAGCTTAAACTACAGATTCATTCTGGATCCAGGGCTCTGTCCCACCACACAGTATTTCTTGCTTATCCTGCTAATTTTAAGCTTAGTTTGGTGTAATCCTGTGTTGCTTTTACTGTTATAAATGCTTTCCTTTCTACATATTTAGGTCTGTATATAAATATTAGCTCGATTTCTTTCTCCTTCTCTGGCAACTCAACTTCATGTTTCATGCTGTTTATCATACACATCACGTTTTAATGAGCACGCGTATGAGGATTAATCACAGCCAGAGTATCTGAGCCTGGACTAACCGGGAAAGTTGTTAGCCACTGTTGTAAAACGAGTTAACCGCATCAGTGTTTGTTAGTTTTTGTGAAGCTGTGACTTCACTACTTCATGCTGTCCAACTACAAGCCACACCAACTGGCATAATGTTAAAACTATTCGCTTTATGTTTAGCTTTTTCTGCGTTTTTCAGCTGATGCGTCCGTTCTATTTGAGACATAATAACCGGTTGCTCATTTCTTTTTCATATCTTAGACAATGCAGTGGTACAGTAACAACCTAGAAGTGGTTGGGGCCCACTGGTGGCTGTGGGGCCCCAAGCAGCTGCTTATGTCGCTTATTAGGTAGAGCTGGCACATTTGTCTGTCTACATTTGTGTAATCTGTACATGATCTGATCCGATCAACACGCATGTTGAAGATGTAAACAGGCTCTTATGAATATGAACGTGAACTACAAAGCAGAGCGATCAGATCTGAGCAATTAAAGAAAAATAATTATTGAAAAGCTTGTAATATGAACACTCAGCCAACACTGAATACCCACACTCTTAAAAAGATGGTTCTTCAAGGGTTCTTTAGTAAAGACAGTAGTTCTATATAGAACCATGAACACTCACATAACCATTTGCATGGTTGAAATTGTTCTTCTGGTTGATGGAGAACGTTGGTTCTACATGGCACCAAAAAGGGGTTCAATGTTAAGCTTGTAACAATAGAAGAACCCTTTTTTGTGCTATGGTTCTATATAGAACACACTCTCCATCAATCTGAAGAACACTTCAACCAGGCAAAAAAAAAACATTTAAGCAAATTATTCAAATTGCTATTTGAGTGTTCATGGTTCTATATACAACTAAAGAACCCTTGAAGAACCATCTTTTTTCAGAATGAGGTGGAGATGTACTGGGAGCTCAGCGAACCGTCAGGTGGGCCCCGAGGAATGGACTGAGAAACACTGTTCTAGAGTGTTTTAGTGTGTAATATTTGCTGATAGAACTCGTCACCGGATCATTAACCTGATCTGGGATCATCAATGCAGCAATGCAGAGTAACACTGGACTGGAGGACTGAAAAGCACAATAACAGTGACACGTTCAGGGATGGAATCCATGGGCTGGTTCACTCGCTGTAGAGATGACAGTGACTAATCAAGTCCCCGACGCCCCACACTGCGAAAAAACTGCATCTTGGGAAGTGAAAACACCTCAAATATATTTCATATTTCTCATTATGAGATTACTGTAAGGATATAATCAGATTATTCAACCTGTTTCTAGATGTTTGAACATGTTTAATGTGTCTTATTCTATTAGCAGATCAGCTCGTTCCAAGACATGATGCCAATAATTCTACTTATTTAAAGAAACAAGCAAAATTGTTCACTAATAGAATTTAAATTTCACTACCAGCAGGTAAAAGTGTCTACAAAAAGGTTCTAAGTTCTTATAATGTTCTAACAATCTCAAGATTAGAATCATTACACATGCTGACTACATTTAAGATGATCTCGCTCTCCAAGATCTCATTTTCCGCAGTGCAGATCCGAATTCTCGTTTATGTGTGTCCTGGAATAAAAGTGGTACAAAGCTGTGGAGTTCTCTGGATTGAAGGAGCTCCATCCAGTACCTTTGGGATGAGGTGAAGTGATCCAGAACTGACCATCCAACATCAGTACCTGACCTCACTAATGCTCAATCAGATTCTCACAGCAATGTTCAACATCTACACTGCAGAAAATGCTGTCTTAACAAGTGAACATTGTAAATGTAGTTAATATATCTCATATTTCTCAAAGTGAGACTGCTGCAAGAATAATACAGCATTACTTAACGTATTTCTAGACATGTTTACTTGTTCTAAGTAAATTTATCTGGTGAAAGTGTCTCGTTTGATTGGAAGATCATTTTACTTGTTTTGAGAAATAATGCAGATAATTTTTGCAACAAGTCAAATGATCTAAAAGGCACTTTCATAAGATATATGAGACAATATGAGACATATTGACTAGATTTAAGATTTAAGATGTTTTCACTCGCTAAGATAGCATTATTTGCAGTAATTGATTTTAATGGTGATATTTCATCCAACATCACTACCTGACCTCACTAATGCTCAATGAAATCCTCACAGCAATGTTCAACATCTAGCGTAAAGCCTTCCCAGAAGAGTAGAGGCTGTTACTGCAGCACAGACTCACTATTAACACCTTCATTTCAGAGGAAACTCTGACGTTCACAGAGTTTTGGACGCACAGTGTAAGAAATGGTTAATGAGTCAGTGATGTGCAGTCCTGGGCTCACCCAGCAGATGGGGCTGAAGCACCGCAAGAAAAACCCTCAAACTGACTGGAAACACTTGTGAGTTGCCTTTAAACCAACAACATCATCCACTAAGACCACCTCGCCTACTAGCAAAGAGACAAGCTGCCCCGCCTACAGCGCCGACACCGGTAAACAGGGCCTGAACTCAACCCTAAATAAAAACATTATATATGTATAAACCACACATTTACAATAGCAGATGAAATAACGTCAAAAATAAATTATAATGTGGTCAATAAAAAAAACATTGCTATCAAAGAAAAACATGCATCTCAAAAATTTAAACTTTATAAGAGACGACAAAAATGTTCTTAACTTTTAATGTAAATTAATGTTAAAAGGGTTTTATTCCGAGTGATTTTGGAGCATTTTGTCATGCTACCTGGTTCCTCCATGTCAGAGCCGGTTTATGAGGAGCCTGGCCACTTCTTATTTCCCCCATTATATGAAAAACAGGACT